CTTATCAAGATATCAGTTGAATGACAAATGGGCAATTCCACGAATGCAACAGAAAGACTTAGTACAGGATTGTTTAGCCATGCATTAAGCCTCATAAATGATGTTTAAGCCTCCACATTTAACAAATAAATCAACACAAACAGTCTGCAAGAATTTAACTGTTTGTAGAGTGTATCGGTTCCCATACATCCTCACTCAAGGACTCTCCCATAATGTTTTACTGTTCAAAACATCCAAACTAACATAATTACATTAATCAGATGCTAATCCCACAATCCCATGTGTCGTCTTCAATATTATAATGTTACATGGTTTTATAGCTTGAATAATAAATGGGGTATTTCATACAATAATGTATATTTGATAATATAATAATCCATATGAAATCAACATGACATATTAGTTTTCAAATCTATAAGAACTTACAATACAATAACACCATCAAGCCCTTATCCCATCACGTGGGATTGGCTACATTAATTATTTTTCTCCATTGTCATGTTAAGAGTCAGATTTTCATTTACATCTACTTAAAAAAATGTTATTTCTAACACTTTCTAACCAAATCTTTTTAGGCCTACCTCTATCTTTCTTAGCATAGATCCTAACTGGGTCATCGAAAGGCTGGCTTTTATGTGATCAAACCATCTAAGATGACTCTCTCTAATCTTATCCGCTACTAGAGCTACTCCAACCTTTTCACGTATATACTCGTTTCACATTTAGTCTTGAAGGGTGAAGCCACTCATTCTCTTGAGCATCCTCATCTCTGCAACACTTAATTTAATTTTATGTTACTCTTTTAATGGCCAACATTCTACACCATAAAGCATTGTAGGTCTCACCACCATCTTATAAAATTTTTTCCTTAAATTTGAGGGGTACTTTTCTGTTACACAATAGACCCGATGCATTCATCCACTTCAACCATCCAACTTGAACTCTACTAATAATATCTCCATCCATTTCACCATCACTTTGAACAACAGACGCGAGATATCTAAAATGTGTACTCTTTTTAATGACTTGACCGCCCAAAGTCACAAACCCCCCATTAAATCTATTACAATTAAAATTACGCTCCATATATTCGATTTTAGATCTACTCAAAAGAAAACCTTAAGACTCTAAGGTTGACCACCATAATTCAAGTTTACTTTCAACTCTCTCTCTAGTCTTATCAACAAGAAGAATATCATCAACAAAAAACATACACCGTGGTGCATACTCTTGCAAATATCTAATAAGAACATCTATGACTAAAGTAAAAGGGTATGCACTTAAAGTTGGTCCCTAATGTAATCCAACTAAAATAGGAAAATACTTGGTCAAACCATCTTGTTTGAACACAAGTAACAACTTATACATACATATCCTTAATAACTTAAATATAAACATTATTAACCCCTTTCTTTTCAAGAACTCTCCAAAGCACTTCTTTGAAACTTTATCATATGCTTTTTCTAAATCAATAAATATCATATGTCAATCCTCCTTATTATCTACAAACTTCTCCATCAACCTCTCAAAAAATGTATAGCTTCCATAGTAGACCTACCCAGCATGAATCCAAATTGATTTTGAGAAACATTAATATCACATCGTAACCTATGCTCAATAGCTCTCTCCAAAAGTTTTAATGAATGACACATAAATTTAATTCCTTTATAATTCACACACACTGATGCATCACCTCTATTCTTAAAAATAGGAACCAACACACTCATCTAACATTTTTTAAGCCTTCAAATTAATATTAAAATTTTCATAAGCCAAGAAATTTCATCTCCTAAGCATTTTCACACCTCTATTGAGATATCATCAGGTTTAAAAACTTTTACAGACTTTAAGATTCTCAAAAGAAAATTTTCAACCACAAATGATCATGATTCTCAAAAGAAAAATAAACACCACCAAATATAATAATGCAAGAAGCACAAAGAGCCAAAATTACATACAAACACAACAATTTTGATGTGGTTCAATTGTAGCCTACATCCACACATAGGATTTTTAGCACAACTTCCACAAAATAAAATTGTTATTCCTTTGATAAGAGAAGCCTTTATACCAACCTTCTTTTCGTAACAACATCCCCAATCATTGGGACAACCTCCCATGAATACTCTCCTCCACAATGTTCCAGAAAAATGAAAGAGTAGAATTGGGCTTTCAAAAAGTTTACACTCTCTGACAATATTTCAATCACAAAAGATCATGATTCTCATAAGAGAAATAAACACCACCATATGCAATTAGCAAGAAATGCACAAACTAAAGAGGGCTACGTGTACTAAAAAAAGGCTGTAATGAGTCTCAACCATGATAAGACCTTACAAGACCTCCACTTAGCATCTTTTAAACTTAAATGGATTACCTCCAAACAATTCTCAAAAGAAACAATCAAGAAATTATAAATTTCCCTCAAAAAGAGTAATGTCTTAATGTCAAATTCGTTGAGAGTGGCCTCTTTGATGGAATATGGTCTCACAAATGGGAGGGGTAATTGTGATGAAGGAATGTGCTTATAGAAAGTTCCGATCTCAAACATAAATAAAACCCTGAGACATTATGGTGAAATAAAATCAATATGCTTTCTAAAATAACGCCTACTATGGTGTTTACAAATAACCAAGTAGCCTCTCTTTCAACAACCTACAACTATATTAAAACCTTTCCAGTTACTTTATAAGATATCTACTCTAACCCTAGAACAACTAACTATTATGTGCTAAAACGGAAATAATACCTTTCTTGAGCTATATGATCACCATGAATAGAAAAAAAATGGTAAATAAGTAATGAATCCATTACAATAATGAAGTGTGAGATTGTTTAGAAGAAAAAAATAATAGTACAATCCAAAATTTTAAGCCATCAATGCTCAGTAGAAAGGCCTTTAGAGTCTTAATGATTTATTGCTCATCACTTTTTCACTCGCAATCAATCACATTTAATAATGATGATGCCGTGATCATTAATAAAAAAATATCAATATATATGCTTGACATGTAGATCAAGTTAATATATGTTAACGAGATCTAGTTAGAATTGCTATTGTTTACAAATAAAGATAGTTTAATGCATTTAAATGTCATAAGCTACAATTTTACTCATATGCATCTTCTAGACGTCCATGTTAAAGTCAAATAAAACAAACCATTACAAATTCCATCATAATCCTACCAAGGAAGTCCCATTAATAATAGGGTATTTGATAAAATTCCGAATGATTTAAAACACTATAGTTAAATGGGCAAATCAAGTTGAGATGCAACCCAAAATCAGCCCCAACTCCCCTCTCCCCTCCAAACACATTCACAAAATAGTAGAAATTACTTGCATATGTATTTAACAATTGTAGGGATGATAGAAATTAAGAAAGATTGATGAAGAAAACCAGTATTTTTTTTTATTTTTTTTGAAACACATGATCAAACATCTAATACATTGAACATATATAAAACTATCTTAATGGACTCAATGATTACCATCCTTGAAAAAGAATAAGAAATGAGTTTGAAGTCAAGTCCCTCTCATAACATAAAGTTTCCGGTTAAACTTACTACATATTTAACAAATAACATGAAATTTTCACTCCTCGCGACACAATAAACCTCCAGTGTGTTCAAAAGAAATATTAATACTACCATAATATCACTCAACAGACTAAGAGTAAGAAAAAGTAAAAGTTAGACCTAAATCAAAGCTTTCTAAATCTTCTAGTTTTAATAGCAATAAGAAAATAACAGAATATTAGGCAATCTGTGCATCCACAAAAGACCACTATTTCTCATGCAATATATTTTTCAACATAGAATCAGAAATTAGAAATAAACTAGAATCATAAGATAGAAAATACGGTTACCTTATCCCAAAATTAAGGACATGCTCAAACCTAGCTACATGAAAACTAAGTAATTAACATGCTACTAGAAACAACATGAAAACTGCTCGGCTTAATACCAATCCATGATTGCTCCAAGCATTCATTATCCTCATCACCACAATTTACCATCCAATAAGCCTTCTTTTCCATTCCATTTTAAAACCCTCTATACCATGTTTTCTGGAAGTTATTCTTGTAACTACTATGCATAAGCATGGAGCATTTTTTTCAAGTGTTTTACAACCTTAAAGAGAAGAAACAGAGGTCTAATTTTGTTTAAAAAAACACAACTATCAAGAGACGAGCATCTTATCACTTATATATATATATATATATATATAGTAAAACAAATACAATTAAACCATTTAAGTTTGTAGCATATATATAGCGTAAATGAAATATAATCTTTTCTAATATCTATTCCATCTATTATCATTGTATGTTAAATCACCACCATAATTAACTCACTCTTCTTCGTAATCTTAAGTATTAGCAAATGACTCTTCAAATCAAAACAATATGCTCATCCCACAACCTGATGCATAGCCAACACCTTACAAATAAGGCTCACATCTATGACCCCACCTCATATAGTCCATAAGCCTTGGCAAACACTTACTCACCGTTAATGACATTAGTTTGAATCTTTACAACATTTTGGACAGCTCGAGTTACAAGAAAATTTTAACACACAAAAATTTTGCATTTTCATACTTGAAAAACAAGATAACTACAGAGCTCTATAAGGATATTAATACTAATATAATAGCACTAAACAGAAAAGGCAAGCAAATCTGAAAGCATACCTACGTAAAGATATTTATAGCTCAACTACTGATAGCGTTAGTTAAAGTAACATCACACTAACAATATGGGCCATTCAAAAGTAGAAATGTTGCACTTAGTAATAAAAAATAGCTTGTTGAACATTTAAACAGATTAATCATAATCTCTGACGTGGAAGCAGGAAATGAAAAACGTACACAGTGCCAATTTAAAAAGAAAATCTAATTAAGATAAGATCGAAGAAACAAACGAACTAGGTAAACAATATTTAAGAATATTCACTAAAAAAGGCAAAAAGAATCTGCAATTGAACAGTAGCTCTTACCTTCGGTTGTGTCCCAAGCAACACCACCAACGAAGATTTTTCTACCAAACAAGAAAGAAATACGGTTATCTTCACTTCACCATCCCTCCGTGGCAATCAAATGGGCCAGAATATGACCCTGACCATCCGCTAGCCTTAGATCTAGAAACATGATGGTCTAACAAAAACGAATAGCAATCCCTAAAACTATGCTACTAACCCTGAAGAAGAAGAAGCGCTAACATGTTGCTTTAACTCCTCGTCTGCACTATCTACGTGATCTATCCTCCTTCCAGGAGACTTCTTCCTCTCTCCTGCACCTTCTTCATTTCCTCCCTCTTCCTCCTCTTCCTCCTCCTCAACCTCCTCCTCCACTTCCTCCTCCTCTTCGACCTCCTCCTCTACCTCTTCCACATCATCTTCTTCCACTTCCCCGCCGTTAACGGCGGCCAGCTTCTCCTTCGCAGCATCCATGGGTTTGTTTCCTTTTCTACGACCTACCAGACCTGCAAAGGAGCAAAGGTTATTCCGCTAATTCCTAATCACCTCTAAGCCTAAACAAGAGCAAAACCCTAGGTGGTACCGTGCAGGGCCTCAGAAGTACATTTCCTACCTATCTAAGGTTTGCGCAGCGGAGCTCTGAGGATCGCTTTCTCTCGGAAATATTTCTTCTGCCAGAACGAAAACCCTAACGGACGCTCTTGGCGGCGCGCTTGCCTGCGTGGACCGCGCGTGAGTCTAATCGATTATAAACGTTGACGGAAGGCGGTTGTAAGAGGCGACACGAAACTGCTACCAAGACCGGTATTATCGGGCAGATACGATTCCCCTCAAAATTACAAGCCCTTGTCGGATTTGTTTTGAACGGGTGGCATCCTCATAATTGTCGCTTGATGGCATAATTAATTCATGACGAGCCTACCAGCAATCAGCTTCACAGTTGTAGGACCCGCAGTTAATTTCTCCCCACTAAAGGGGTCGTGCCCCATGAGACAGGAATCAAATATGGATAGGCAGGTTCCTAACCATGCTCGTCCACCAACCGAACAAAGCTCGGTGGGGTGATTTTAATTTGTTATTTGTTAAAATTGAACGAGAATGTTGTCTTGGGATGCAAAGAACAATTTAAAATAAAAATATGTTGATTATTTTGTTTACTTAGATATTATGTGCTTTTTCTTCATATTTCATTGAATAGTAATATCATTAGCCTTAAATAACTCAAAATTACTAATAATTCTTTAATATTTGCATGCATGATAAGATAACTCAAATGAGTTGATCGAACATTCTTCAAACTCTTATCGAACATTAATAACTCTTATCCAAAAAAAAATTTGATCATGTTTAAATAAGGTTTGAATATGACGTTCTTCGAATTATGATCAAGCCTTCTTTGATTCGATCCAGGTTTCATAATACAAATAAGCTTTATGTAAATTTCGATCACGTGCCTGATATATTTAGATCAAGGATAAAATAAGTTTGGAGTGTTTTAGGTTTAAAGTTTAGAATATAAACATATAACATTATTAACCTTCAATGACAATCGTTGGCTAGTCAGGACAGAGAAAGAGACGAAAATCTTGCTTTGAAACATTGCTTCATTGCCGTCCCTTGCGAACAAGAATCGCTGGAGAGGAAGAAGATGCTAAGAGTATGAGAGATCGATTAATGTTTTACCCAAAAAAAGTTGATGTGATTCCCCTAAAATTTTAATATAATTACATTAGTCATTAGAATGAATATATTTATGAAAATTTAGGTTCTTTGCATGTTAAAAAATTTATAATGTTAGCGTGAAAGGTTATCATATTAATATTAAATAAAGATTTAGCACACAAAGGGACATGAGAATTCTATGAAAAATCTAATAAAGGAAAAAAATTATGAGGCCTTACTAAGTTTAAATCATTCCAGTAAATTTATAATTAATTATAAACAATGCTAGCTTTTTCCCATAATTGAGCAAGGTGCTGCTACAATAAAGTAGACAATATTTTATAAAATGAATTATGTAGTAAAAGTTAGAAGAGATGTTTGGCATGGGAGCTATCTTCAATAACCCTTAACGGATGCATCAGATGAACAAATCACTTCATATCCCAAATATAAACTTACTCGGAAGTGATCAAACTAACTAATACTCACACCGACTTTCTATTAAGAGCATCAGCAATCACATTTCCTTTACGATGCTGATAAATAACATTCAAATCATAGTTTTTAATCAACGCGAATCGCCTTCTCTACTGCCCCAGGCTTAAGGTGGATCCGCCCCTAGATCTAAGTGCCAAATGATTACACAAACAAATTTTATAGTTTGATAAGTGAACTTCAAAAGACACTATATCTCAAATCAAAAATGTCGAAACAAATTGCTACAATGAACCTTCTTCAGTTAAAAATCATTAGTTGACGAAGTAGCAGCTCATGCGCAGTGCTTTTGCCTGAATGAGTGTATGTTATTCTGAAAAGAGAACAATAATACTATTTTTTGTGTGTTGAGGTGCTTTGAGATGGAGAATTCTGCACAAGGCTAGTGCTAAAAGTGAGTTTCTAAAGATAATACGTTACTTCTAAGACTTTTTTTGATAACTTTCTTAATATTTTTTAAAGCAATTTTTTAGTACAAAAATTTTATTTTTTTTATTAGAAAGCTGTTTTAAAAAACCATAAGAAAATTGTCCAAAATCAAATCTAAGGGTTTGTTTGGAATGGCTTTCTTACTGCTTTATGAAGCAGCTTTCTAGTTAAAAATTAAAATTTTTGTACTAAAAATCTTCTTCATAAAACAGTAAGAAAGCCGTTTGAAACCAAGCTTAAGGCTCCGTTTGGGGCAGCTTTCTTTATGCTTCTTAAAGCAGTTTTCTAATACAAAAGAAAGCTTGTTGACCTCCAGATCATAGCCAAAAGAAATAAAAAAGAGACAGAACATGTATCAAAATATCACACAAATCCTGCATAAATCTCGCTTACCTCGTACAGATCGGTGCTGTTTGAATGGCATCCGATGATTCCTCCTCAAAACCAGTAAATTTACTCTGTTTTCGCGCTTCCATTTGTCTATTAAAGCGACAATGAGCCAAAAAACTGAAAAACTCATATTCATACTCTTGAAGTTCGCAGCGCACCGAAAAACCTGTCTATACACGTCTTTATTGCACATGATGGGACGGGTCCTGACGAGCGTGTTATTGGTACACACGTGATGTCTAGGGATGTTGTGCGGGTTAACAAATTTAAACATGATCCTCCTAAGTAGGTACATAGTAGTCGACAAGGTTCAGCAAATAAATATAAAATGCCCCCAAACACCCTCATGGACCCTGACAAGCATGTTATAAATACACACGTGATGTCCAGGGATGCTCCGTGGGTGACTAAATTTGAACTCAATCCTCCTAAGCAGGTAAATAGGAGTCGACAAGGTTCAACAAATAATTATAAAATGCCCCCAAACACTCGTATGGGCCCCGACAAGCATGTCATTGGTACACACGTGACGTCTAGTGATGATGTGCGGGTTAATAAATTTTAACCCGATCCTCCTAAATAGGTTAATAGGAGTCAATATTCAATAAATAATTACAAAATGCTCCCAAATACCCGCATGAGCCCCGGCGAGCATGTTATTGGTACATATGTGATGTCTATGGATGTTGTGCGAGTCAATAAGTTAATTCAAGTTCGAATATGATTCTTATATGTCGATCAATAGGAGTTGACAGGGTTCGAACCATCAAATAAATATATGGTTGTGGCGACCGATATATTTATTTTAATACATTCATATTAAGCCTTTAAGGCTTATAATCAAGAGAATTTGCTAATAAAGGCATAAAGACTATAACACCCGATCCTCTGTCGATAACTCGATAGAGTCGACAAGGTTTATCTATAAAATATAAATATTGTCAAATGGAAATGACCCTAAACACCTCGATGATGGTCGTGTTGAATAAAAAATCTTAACTGGAGTGGTCCTTTCCAAATATTTCAAAATGACATTCTAAACATTTAAAATTTCAAAAATCCCAAAGTCATTCAAATCCAGAATATTTAAAATTGAAACAACACTATCAAATACTTAAAGTAAAATCCATCCATCCTCCACAATAATTTACCGGGGAGGATAAATTTGAAAATAACTTCAACTCATATAAAGCTAAATGCCTGGTTGAAAATATCACTAGGATTCGTTCTCAAACAATCTTCTACTAGTAAGGATATGGTACGTGTCCTCTAACCAGCAGTTTTTCTGCCAAACGGTACCATAGGATAAACAGTTATGACCCAAGGCCCTCTGAATCGAGTGGTTTGCTGCCAAATGGCACCACTAAATATCGGTTATGACTAAAATCAATACGCTTCTAGTGACATCAAATCCTTGAGAGATGAATCAATAGGATATAATTAATAGAGCATAAAGCTCTCTGTTACCTAAGGTGGATTCAAATTTGTCCCCTTAAATAAACACTCACCCTAGGTCTATAAGGTCCCCTTGGACAAAGTAAACCATGGCTGTTAATAAGGATCCTTCTGTCAGGTTGGATCGACTTCCTCCTTTGATTAAGTAAACCAAGGACCAGGATGACCTACGACACAGAATTATGGGATCTTGATCGGGTCCATCATATATTCCCTCACCATCCGCTTTAAGTGGAAGATGGTGAAATTTCTATTTTAAATATCAATTTTCTAAATTTCCAAACCTTCAAACTTCCAATTCTCAAGCTCATGCTGCTATTATATGCTAGATAACACGTATCTCTATGTATCTGATTGATGACTAGCCTTAACTGAAAGTTCTCTCTCGTTATCGAGATGGGTAATTAATTATAGGGGCTTGTGCCTATATGAAATCAGAACTCATATCATAAAGTCCTCGCAAAAAAGGGCAAAATCTTTAGGTAATGACTTATCTACAAACCCATCTATCTTCCAAAATTTACCCCAAAACTTAATTCTGTTAAAACTCCCTCGAAAAAGAAAAAAACAAAGTCGGGCGAAGGCCGGGGCCAAATTTTTGGAGCCCACAGATTTCGGGCGACTCCACTGAGGATTGGTTTTTCTTTCCATATTTAGCTAATTTTCTAAACGATATAGTAGCAGCAAAAAAAGTAATGATAATATTGAGCTCTATACGGTGAACATCAAAATATGACACTTAGTCCCTATGTCCAAAAAGTCATCACTAAAAGGTCCTGATAGAGGTAAAAGTAAATTGAGCTTTATACGGTGAACATCAGGATGTGATACTTGATACCTATATCCATAAATCTATCACTGAAAGATCCTGATAGAGAAAAAAATAACCATCTATTATGATGGTAGAGCAAAGAAAGAATAAAGATATATACGGTGAGCAATTGGGGTGTGATACTTGGACACATATCTAAAAATCCACTACCGAAAAATCCCGGTATAAGGGAAAAATAAATATGGAGACCAACATCACTAGAAAAATATACACAAATAATGGTATGATATCTAGTGTGTACCCCTAAAGATCCACCATTAAAGAGCAAATACCACCTAAGTGATCTGAGAATTATATTTGAGAGAATCAAAAAGTTTGATTTAAAGATGAACGCTCTCAAATGTGCTTTTATGGTCTCCTCCAACAAATTCTTGAGTTACGTCATTCGGCATCGATGAATTGAGATCGACCCCAATAAGATCAATGCAATTATGGAGATGCCACCTCCTAGAAGTCTCCGCCAACTCCGCTCCTTGTAAGTATAACTGGCCTTCATTTAGTGATTCATATC